GTAAGTTGCTTCGTTTTTTTGTGCTAATACTTTCTCTTTAATTCTATAAAGAGACACAATTTCTTGTTCTGTTACAAAGTTCCACTGTTCAAGTCCTGTAATTGCCGTGTCGAGAATACTGACTAACTTGTCAATCGAAATTTTTTCGTTTTCAGTAACCTCTCTGTCACTTTCTTCACTATCGGAAGTGTTAGGGTAAACGCTTTACACGCATGCGCATGTAAGTTTGTGGCTTTGAGGTCTGGATTATAGATCATTCCAGATAATGGACGTCCAGATTATGGGCTTTGTACTGTATATATTTTTTCATATTAAATTTGGTGATCATTGTTGACCTGAGAAATGTTATGCGCAATGTGCTTGGTGAGAAAAGTCGGAAAATTTCATCCTGCAACAGGATTAGTGGCTACTGCTGTTCCTGATATGAATGACAATTCAATTTTCAATTATCAGTGATAATGTTTATTTATGAAGGGAAAAAACCTTAGGACTTCGGTTCTGAGTAGTTTCAGGTGCTGATGTTAGCCTCATTCCAGCAGCTCATCATTATACAACAGGTGATGATTTTGAATGATGAGCACAATGAATGGAGCAGAAATTAAAAATTCTAACATTAAATTTAGGGTTTGGAAGAGAATTCCTATTTCCGTTTATATTAGCTAAAGTTGATAAAGCTATTATAGGAGCTGATTTTCTGAATAAATTTCAACTTTTAGTTGACATTCATAATAACCATTTAATTGAGAGAATAACTAATCTGTCTGTTCAAAGAAATGTAACAGCAGTGTTTTTTGATAATTCTATTAGTACTCTAGATAAAAATTCTCAATATACTCATTTGTTACAAAAATACCCAAATTTAGGAAAACCAAATCTATCTATATCAACATTTAAGCATGATGTTGAGCATTATAGCAACAAGAGGACAACCTGTTTATGCCAGAGCTAGACAGTTGGATTCCAAGCAGCTACAAACATAGCGAAATAGGAATTTCAATACATATGAGAAAATGATATTATTCTTTCCTCTAGATCACAATGAGCTAGTCCTCTCCATGTGGTTCCCAAGAAAGATCTTTCCTTCTGACCATGTGGGGATTATCACCATTTGAATGCTCAAACAATAACAGATTGTTATTCATAGCCCTGTTAGAGGATTTCAACCATCTTTTAAAAAATACTTGAATATTTTCTAAAATTGATTTGTATAAAGCATATTTTCAGGTAATGAATGATGAAGATTACATTAATGATAATGATAAGGAAGAAACTGCCATTATGACCCTTTTTGGTATATATGAATTTAACATCATGAGTTCTGGGTTATGTAATGCACCTTCTACCTTTCAAAGATTTGGTGTTTAGAGGGTTAAATTTTGTTTCCCCATGTTTGGATGATGTTTTGATTGAGTCAAATATTGAAGAGGGATATAAAAAGCACTTAAAATTGGTTTTGATTTTTTTTTTTTTTTTCAAAAATATGGATTAAGACTTAATGTTTCTAAATCTGGTTTTGGAGTTAATAAATTGGAATTTTTAGGTTTTTCTAATTACATTTGAGAGACTGAAACCTTTTCTTAAAAAGGTTGAAGGTATTCTTAATGTAAATTTGCCTGATACTGCTCATCAGCTATGAACCTTTCTCAGACTGGTTTTACCGTCACTTTTAAAAACAAATGCTGCTGCTACTCAAACGATTTTAACATGACTGCTTGAAAGGTGCAAAGAACAGAGAATAATCTAAAAATAACTTGAACGGATGAAGCCGTTGAGCAGTTTGAAAAATGTAAAGAAAATTTGGCAAATGTGACTCTTCTGTCGCACCCAGATCCAAAGTTACCTTTTCCATCATACACAGATGCCTCAGATTGGGCTGTAGGTTCAGTTTTACAACAATTCAAAAATGACAGTTGGAAATCAATCGGATTTTTTTGAAATAAGCTTTAACCACACACTGCAAAATTACATTACATATGATCATAAACTTCTTGCACTTTATCTTTCCATTAACTATTTCAAACATTTGTTAGAAGGATGAAAATTCACTATGTATACTGACCACAAGTCCGTAATCTATGCATTTTCCCATAAGACCGATAGAGCATTTTCAAAGCAAATTCGGCAACTTCAATATATTTCAGAATTTTCAACATATATTAAGTACATTACAGAAAAGAATAAAGTAGTAGCAGATATATTGTCCAGAATCAAAGAAATCACCTTAATTAATTATGATCAAATTGCTGAAGCACTAGAGTGAGATGATGAATTTGAGACATTTGAGGAAATGTACAAATTTGACTTTTAAGCAGTTTTCTTTTCCCACCTGGGGGGAGAGGGACTGTGCTGGGATATTTCAGCACAGCATATTAAATCTTATATGCCTAAGAGCTATCATATGAAAATATTTCATAAGTTTCACAGATTATCCCATCCTGGAATGAAATTAACTATAAAATTAATCTCTTGTAAATTTATTTGGTCAAATATCAAGAAAGATGTTTAGCACTGAAAAAAATCTTGTATTCCATGTCAAAAATCTAAAATATCCTGGCATATGAAATCAGTAGTTGCCAAATATCAAAAGACATTAGAAAGATTTCTAGAAGAGAATAATGATCTTGTTTGTTCATCATCACCATCAAATGGTAACACCTACTGTCTGACATATATAGATAGATGCACAGATTGGATGGAAGGTGTTTCGCTGGAAAGCATTTCGGCAGAAACTGTAGCGAAGGCTTTCTACAGCTATTGGATAGCAAGGTTTGGAATACTCTTGCATCCAATTACTGATTGAGAAACTCGGTTTTCATCTGAAGTATTTCAAACCCTTTTAAGAATCTATGGCATTAAGCTTTTGCATACAACAGCCCATTACCCACAGTGCATCGGCAAGGTTGAACATCCCCACAGATCAATAAAGGCTGTTTTAAAAGCCTGTAATAATATAATCTGGAGTGAAACGTTACCAACTGTTCTGTCAAACTTGCAAACAGCAATCCATGAAGATACTGACTATGCAATAGCAGAGATTGCATATGGGGAATATATTAAATTTCCTGGAGAATTCTTTGAAGCAAAAACAAATCATACATCACCTGTAACTTTTATAAATAAATTATAAAAGTATATGGTATTAATGCAGCCAATGGAAACTGAACAGAAGATATCCTTACATTATTTGTACATAAGGATTTAGGATCAATCTCTCATGTTTTTCTTCACATTGACAGTTTTGAAGCAACTTGAACCCCTATATGAAGGTTCATGTTCTGTTATCAATCATTCACCTATTTTACTCTATGGATAAAGAAGTAAATTTATTGATAGAACAGATTGAAGCCAGCATATGTTCTACAACTACAAATTCCTAAACGCGAGAACTCCAAATTGTGTTAACAATATGCTTTATCAGCTGAGATTCAAATCAGAACATCTGTGTCTCAACCCAAAATCAAATCAGGTTTAAGATAATCCTGGATTGGTAGAATTCTTAAGACACCATTATATTGCAAAAAGTGATATTTTTATATATAAATTTTGTTGTTTTTATTTTCGGGAATGGCACTTTTACTTGGTCCCGACCTTTCTAACATAACTTTCGTTACTGGTAGATGAGTAAATGTAATGCCATAAAATACAAATAATTCATTTAAAAGTAACTCATCACTAGGGTTGAAAAATAAAGGTTTTGGTGTTGATATGGTAGTAGCATTATTTGTAATGCAATAAAACTGTTAAGGTAGCAAGTCTTTATCTGCATATTATTATGTTATCTCGCACTTGGTGTTCCAGCTACTAATTCCAACTGATCAATGACAAAGTTTAGTCTTGTTTATTAAAGGCTGTACAAAACTCCTAGGCATCCAATGAATAGGCAAACTGATTATCATACTTAAAACAGTGGCTTAATTAGGAATTTCACTGTCCTTTAAAACCTGCATTAATATGTCATGAAACTCAAAAATTGTCATAAATTTTACCAGATGTACTAGTTAGACTGAGAACAGCTTTCAGAGAAAGCATCGGTTGCACTCCTGCTGAACTTGTGTACCAAACTACACTTAAACTTCTGGGTGATTCGTTTCGGCATGTTAAATGCTGAAACTGGTCCTGTTGAATTGAAAATATTGAATAATTGAAATTTGAAGCTGCATGAAGCAACTTAAACCCAAACCAACTGGATCATATGCAACAAAAGCAGTGTATTCACAAAGATTTAAAAACATGTTCATGTGTGTTTATATGATGTGATGCAGTATGACATTTATTACAATCATTTTATTACGGCTCTTTTTAAGCACTCAAATGTGTTGCAAAATTTTCAAAATATCCATCCACAAAGACAGTGTTTGATTTCCAATTGACTGTGTGAAACCAGCATTAATGTCTAATATGGACATGGATACTTGCTGTCCTGACACTTTACAATTTAGGTATGCAAATCGCACTATTTAAGTTTTGGTATTTATCAGCATTTTCTATAATTTTTTTTTGTTTAATTTATAAAATATATTAAAATTAATCTAAAATAAATGTATCTGTATTTCATGGGTTTTGAAACGGGGGGAATAATTGTCTAATAATGGTGAAAAGTGTGCATGGGCAAACAAGTTTGAGAACCACTGCACTAGATGTTCATATAAAAAGATGGGTTTCATAATTTTTACAAAATTGATTTTTTAAATGTAGAAACGCCGAAGTTTGAATCATCATTTCAATTCTGTAGTTGTTGCATTATTCTTGTAAATTATGCAGTATTAAATTCTGTTGCATTCTGTAGTTGGAAGTAGTATGTATCTACGACCAACAGTGCAAAAATAGTCTGCATGGGGACTTTTAAATATGTGGTGTATGACTATAATAATATGGGCTCATTTGTACTGTAGAAATGTATTCCCTTAAATATTAAATGTTCTTTTTAAATTTTATTTATAAAATGTACAGAGTGTATGTTACAGCTGTCATTCTTTTTATAAGATTTGCTATTATTTTAGGAAACATTTCTAAGCAAAACAAAAATGAGCAAGTGTTGGATAAACTACAGGTGGAGCGGGAAAGAGGCATAACTGTGAAAGCTCAAACTGTATCACTTTTTTATGATTATGATGGACAGCATTATTTATTAAACCTAATTGATACACCTGTAAGTTAATATTTTCATCTAATATTTATTTATGTTACTCTATTATTTTGTGATTTTTTTTGCTTTGACAATCAGCCGATGACTTAACCTGAAACTCTGCTTTAAAAGTTTACAATGATAAGAAATATTAAAAATTTCATGTGGAATTTTGAGCCAGTCTGAAAAGCTGTTTATTTCACTTTTCAGCTTTATAAATTAATATTTTTTTAAGCAGCTAAATTTTTAATATGTTAAACAGTAGATTTTAATGTTAATTATTTGTTTATTTAAATTCTTCATTATTTGTTCATGAATAACATAAAAAGGAGCCTATTTGATTAAGCATATTCTCCATGAAGGTACTTCTTCGCTGAGACAGGTAGTCCTAGAGTGGCTTGCCATATCCAAATACAACCAGCAATCTTTATTTGTTTTTACATTTTTTAACTGCTCAACCAATAGCAAATTAGGCATCATATGATATATGTATTGAGTGGAATGAAATGTTCATGTATGTGTATTAAATGATGCATTTTTTTAACATGTTTGCTGCCAACTACGAGTTATCTCGTAGGTCTAAGTTTGTGTTTGGGCGCCAGCTACGAGGTAATTCGTAGAATGTTTTTCTTTTATCTAAGCCACATACAATCAAACTCGTAGTAGAATTTTATGTTCAAAGATATCTGGCTGTGGGGATTCGAAAAAATACAACAATTTGGCACAATTCATGAGATTTATTATAATTAATTTAAGTAATTATAAACTAAATGTAATAGAAACTGTAAAAATAATTAATCTTTATTATAAGTAACTCCCAACTATGAATATACTCGTTATGAGTATACTTGTAATTAGCACAGTCATAAAATATTTTATCACAAAACCCGAGTATGATATAACTAGTATAATTAATAAAGTAATTAAAAATATTTGAATTCAGTATCTTTCTGATAAATACATGTTTTATATTTTTATTTTGCAAATAATTCATTGAAATTTGTTGGTGGGGTGGAGCCATTTTTGAAAATGTCGCTTGGCAGCAAACGTGTTAAACATTTTTTATTTTAAAACCAATCTTTTCTTTCCATAATTTTCATTTTATGTTAATATTTTTGAATCTATGAGCACTTTTGAATGTATTTTTTATTTGAATTTCTTTGTTTTATATATATATGAAATTATTTGTCAGTTTAATTTGATTAATAATTTGGATTTTTTATATGCCTGTATGATATTTGGACATAAGAAAGGACATAAATAATTCAATTAATATTTTGTATATTCATTTCATTTAGATTTATTTATTTAGTATTACTATTAATTTTGAATATTTTAACTGTGTTTCATGTCTTGATTAAAACTGTTGGACCTAAGCATTTATGGGCGGTATATAATCAAGTAAAAGGACATCTTGAGAAGATATTCAAGAAATATATTTTTATAAAAGTTTTCCATTATGAATGAGTATAATCTACTGAAATAAGGAGTACAATATATTTAATTTATAGATATTTTTTAATAAATTCTTAGCAGAATTATGAGTCGTACTATTTAAGTGGTATTTTTAAAAAGTAAAACCTAAGAGCATTTACTGCATAATTGTTACTTGCTTTGCACGTTTAAGCAGTAATATATATTTAAAAAAAAAAAAAAATTCTTATCATCATTAGTTACAAAGGTATGGATGCAAACATTAATTATTTCAAAGTTAAGATAAATAAATGATCAAGTACTAAAAGAAGTGTAGATGATAAAAGAAGGCAAATGTAATTGCTCACCTTTGTAAATGTAGCCCATAAATGTTAATTTTACAGTTATTAATTCTAAAATTAATCTTGGTAATCAGCACAAAAATTAATTTTGCTTGGGCAATAGTTTAAATACCGTATTTGACGGCATATACTTTTTGACTTTTTTCCCGAAATTTGGTCTCAAACAAGTTACCTGCATCTTATACGTGAAGGACACAGGTTAACTTTCAATACTGAATGCCATTTTTAGCCCGGATAAAGGTCTAGACACACATAACTTTTTCTACATCTGCCAAAATTATTTTGCGCATGCGTGAAAATATCTGTCGCCAAAAAGCACCAAAGCTTGAAGCTGATGTTGAAGTTCAAACAGGTTCGACGGTCACATTACGTCTGTGGAGCCTTTCCTTCTTTACATAGACTTTCTTTGACTCTGCCGACACACGTGTTGGTATCGGTGCTACTCTGTATAAACGTGTTGGTATTGGTGGTTAAAACTATTTGTTTTAAAAAAATACCCTGGAAAATATGACTACAGGAAACAAGAGATTAAGCTATACAATTTAGTATAAACTAGGAGTGTTAAACTACGCCAAAGTGCATGGAAACAGAGCAGCAGCAAGGCAATTCGGTCCACCACCTACCGAAAAAAGGACACATACTTGGCGACTACAGGATCAACTGAATCTGTTATAAAATCAACTGAAGACTGTTATAAAACAAAAACATAACCTTCGATGCTCAGCTCCATCTTGGCCTGAACTTGAAAATTCCGTAAAAATGTGGGTGATAGATAAGAGGAAATCTGGGATAAGTGTTTCAACTAAAATGATAATCAGTGAGGCCAAAGGATTTTTCAGAAAAACATGGGAATCAGATCTTTTTCAGGTCTGAGGACTGGTACTACAGGTTCATGAAAAGGCAAGGCTTATCAATGTGCACAAAAACAACTATTGCACAGAAAATGCCAGCAGATTATGAAGAAAAATACTAGCATTTCATAGTTTGTTATAAATGCACGCAAGAAAACGTTTTTTTTTTAGTTTGGTCAAATAGGAAATCTGGATGAAATTCCACTCATATTTGATGTACCGTCCAACAAGACTGTGAATATTAAAGGGTCTAAATCAATAACCATAAAAACCACAGGTCATGAAAAAACCCGATATACGGTAGTTCTAACGTGTTGTGCTGATGGCACAAAATTACCTCTGTTTTTCATATTCAAAAGAAAACTCATCCGAAAGCAAAACATGTTCATGTTCAACTGGGATTGTATCTGTATTGTTCATGTTCATCTGAAAGGCTGGATGGACGAAGCTGGAATGAAACTGTGGCTACAGAATGTACGGGCGAGGAGACCTGGTGGACTCTTAAGAAAACCCTCTCTTTTGGTTTTGGATCAGTTTAGCGCCCATAGAACTGAAACCATAAAGAATAAAGCGACAGAATTAAAAACCCAGATAGCTGTCATTCCTGGTGGACTGACTAGCCAACTGCAACATTTAGACATATCCGTGAATAAGCCATTTAAGGAAAAATTGCGAGAACGATGGAACAAGTGGATAGGAGAGCCACATCACACCCTCAGGTAGAATGAAGCGGCCCTCTATTTCGCAATTGTGCGAGTGCGTAAAAAGATCTTGGGAGGACGTAAAGGCTGAAGTAATTGTTAAGTCCTTTAAGAAGTGCAGAATCAGTAATGCTCTTGATGGAACAGAAGACGATGCATTATTCGAAGAAGGTAATACTAGCGTTGATGGAAACAGTAGTGATGACGATATTCTCGTTTTCGATGATGATGATAGTGAAAAGGATTTTTATGGTTTTGAAAGTGATTAAAGTCTAATTTCATGATAGGCAACGTTTTCCTTGAATCTGTGTTTTTTGTTGTTTCTGCTTTATTTTGTATTATGTTTGATTGCTTGCCGTTCATTCATTTATTCATTATTGAAATTTACATATCATGTTCAAAATAGCTTGCCGTTTGTTAATTTTCCTTAATAAAAATATGTTTGGTAATTGCATTCAATGATTGTTTATTCGGCTTTTACAAAACGTGAGAACTAAAAGAAACCACAGTTTAAGTTATTGTGGTACCGCGCTTTCGCACAAACTATTGAAACATTTTTTCCCTTGTGTGTGGCCTTTTAAATAAGGGTGCATCTTATATGCCGTCAAATACGGTAGTTAGCATGTTGAACTCTTGAATAAAATTGCATCATACCTTATATCTATAACTGCGTATGAGAATTTTATTATAAAGTTGAAAGCATTTAAACATTACAGCTTTTTGAGATTTTCCTTTTTTTTTTTTTTTTTTAATTGAATTCTAATACAGTAGGAAGTATCTGTAAAAGTTTTTACGTTAAATATATTTTTAAAAGCAGAATCAAAATCTGACTGTATTAATCAGGGGCTATTATTGTTGTTAATTATTTGATATTTTTTAGCTTTTGCATCTCTACTTTATAAAGATGGACAACAATAAGCTATTTCTAAAAATGTATAATATTATCATAGTAACATCACTAAGAGTTGATTCCACCTTTTCCATTTTTTAAAATTATTTTTGAATGGTTTCTTGAGTTATTGGCAAGAGGTAAACTAGATTTTTGTTATGTTATTTAATCTTCTCTAATCGATAGTAATATGCCATGCTTTAAAATCCTTTTGTGCAGTACTAATTTTTTTCCTTCAGCATTTCTTCAGTATGTTGTTCTCTTATTCCTCCCTTGATGCCATCATAGTAGTAGGGTTTTGCTTTGCAGGGGGGGATTTCCAGTTTGTATAGTGCGATTTGCCATCTGGGGCCTCATGAAATAAATCTGAAAATTTTCCTATAAACTGCTCCAGCTTCGCATTCTCATGCGTGTTCGGTTCCTTCAAACTTAAATCCAGTGGCTGGACTTCTTTTTTTACCATCTCATTCATGACCAGTAGTACATTAACTCCCTGAAAATTAATTTTCTCCCCCACAGATTTTAAGAAATCCATCCTCCGTATTGTATTAGCCTGTAGATTTTTCACTACAAAGCAAAGCACCTTCTGGTGTTAATTTTTAACCTGCATGTGTAGGGTTACTTTCCCTAAGCATTCACATAGTTTGTTTTGGGCGATGATCGCTCTTGTTTCTTCGACACCAAACAATTTATTCAGATTAAATGAATGGTGTTGCTCTGTGATGATTTTTATTATGTCATTTTGACAAACATCACAGTGATTAAATATTTTGAGTATGTGTATCATTATAACTAGCCCCATAACTTTGAAAATACTCTTCTGCTTTTTGTTCTTTAAAAGGCAAGTCCCAAATTTTAATCCTGTTTGCAAAAAGCAATAGAAAAACAGAAATACTTTTTAATTTATAACTTCCCAACAAAATTTAATTGAACCTAGTGAATATTGGTTGCATAAAACAAAAGCAAAATTCTTACAGGTAATGTTGTAATTTTTTTGTTTATTTATGTGCTCCATCATTTTGCACTATATGGAAGGGAGGTATCCCTCATGAAGAACTTTTTATGGGGAACTGGCTCATATCCACATTACACATGGGAAAAACCATGAAAATGCTCATGCAGCCAGCTTCCCTGGCCAAATTACCAGTGTTCAGTTGCTTTTACTGCTGTGCCAAGTGTGTTGTAATGTCATGCTTATCCATTATTGGTGATAAAATGCATTTTTTGGCAACATTGTTGAAATGGTTAACGAGAAAATGTCTATATTGTGCCCCATCTCATTTTTACATGAAATAGGGAATCATGCAAAAGTCTTTACTGTTCCTGGAAGTGCCCTGTTATTTTTAGATTTTTCATACTTGTCTGTAATTAGAAATTGTGGGTCAGTAATGTGTGTATCAGATTGCATTTGCTTGTTTTATTGTTGGTCAGTAATGAGTGTATCAGATTTCATTTGCTTGTTTTATGTATGCTCTGCAAACCTTGATGAAGTTATCATCCAGAAAGATTACATATTTTCTATAACCTAGATATCAGAGAGTTTGATGAATTTATTAGTTACTCGTATTCCTGCAAATCATATTTTTTTTTTTTAAACTTGGGATCTAGCTGAAAATATTTTTAAGATTACATTGCAATATTTTTGTGCATATAATCAATCCTACTTCATTTAATTTCATATTTATAATGTTACATTTTTCTTAATATAGGGTCATGTGGATTTCATCTTCGAAGTAAATCGGTCATTAGCTGCATGTGAAGGAGTCATACTTCTTGTTGATGCAAATCAAGTAAATATATTCATTTAAAAGAATAAAGAAATTGATATATATGTATGTGTGAGTAACCTTGCAGAACAGTGAAAATAAAAGATAAGCATAGAGCTTAAAAAAACAAGTTAGGACTATTTTAATTATGTACACAGCAATTTTGAAAGAATTAATACCGAAAATATGTAAATAAATAAATGGAAAAAGAGACAGAGAAGAAGAATATTCTTCCAATAGATTTATGATGACACTTCAATGGAAAGCAGGTTAATAGGCTATAAATGGATATGCAAAAGCTAAAATCTATTTAAAAGAGTTTTAGAAGAAATCTAAATTTAAAACCAAATTTGAACCTTTATCTCCTAGCTGTTAACTTGAAGAAGCTGAAGCTTTCCTTCTGTGTGTGCCCTTTGAGGTGTATTGATTAGTACATTCAGCTAAAAATCAAAAGCTATGTGACTCTCTTTTTGGTGAAAGCATAGATGATTTTTTGTGTTTCTTACTCTGAAAATAATAATAAGGAAGGTCTTCCAATCTTGCACTCTCTGAATATATATGTATGCATCGAATTAATGAAATGAAAATACTCTTATAAAAATGCTGTCATTCTTTCCAATTTGCTTATGTTTCATTTTGTTTGTTACTTGATGAATTTGGAATGAATGAATATAAAAAAATTGCCTGCTAATACTCTATAGTTAGGTGGTTAAAAATTTGTAAAGAATAATGAGATTGGGTGATAGAGCACTATTTGGCAAATTTCAAAATTATGAAAATGTAGGTTTCAAAATTCTGAAGGTTGCTAAACTGATCGAATTACACAACAAAAATACAGAATAAGAAATGAAGAGCTGATGAGTGAAAGGAAATATATTTTGGCTATCAATACACACGAATTTAAAATAAAAGGTTTAACAGAACTGATAGAAATTGAATCCTTGAAAAATTATTTGAAAATGCATGAAATTCTAGAAATCATTTTACTGTGGAAAGATTTACAAGATTTTACAAGTGGCTAAGCAGTTAAGGCCATTGAATACTGGTAATTAGGCACAAGTTCAAAAACTGACGAACAGGCTAGCTGCATGGTTGTGTTTCTCCATGTTTAACTTGAACATGAGCCAGTCTTCTTTAGAAAATTCTCTACTTAGGCATCTCTCCCATAGGCAGACAGCCATTGTGTGCTTTATCATAATCAAATAACCTAACCTATAACTGTGGAAAGGTGCGTCATGTTTTAGTACAAATTAGAAAAGTTTTGAAAAATGCAAGGCTACTGTGCCTGAGTGTTAAAACTGGAGAAATACAGCTAGCTCAACAAAGGTTCTTATCAAAGTTGACCTAGTGGCTGCATGGGAATTTTGTTGCTTATCCCTGATGAGAAGCACATGAATCATTTGCCCTAAAAGTTCTCTCCTTCTTTTAAACTGGTATTTCAGCCCAGGGTTCGAATCTCAGCAAATAGTCTGGCTACATGGGATTTTCATGTTTTTCGGCATGTGTAAAGCGTTCACTAACCGATTTCTCTTACAGAGCACTTCAAGAAGGCTCCCTTCTTTTGGGCAGACAGCCCTTGAATGCTTTGTCATAATTAAGGAAAGTAAACCAAACCAAACCATTCTTTTAAAATAAAAATGCACTAATTTTTCACCCACTTAATTTTGGTTTGAATGCATTGCATACTACATTTGAATTTCTTTTTTAATCGTTTCTTATATTACATCAGAATTTTACAGCTTTTCTCTTTATAATCCCGTGATACATGTGTGAGACATTGGATAAGTTTTTCTTCGAGATTCATTATTTGCCAAAACTTTCAAATGTATCATTCATTGTCAGAGCCAGTCTCATCAGCTGATGAGGTGAAAATTTTTTCTGTTACTTGATGTACTGTGATTTCTCTTGAACCTTTAAAATGCTAGAAATCAGATTCTTCAGTTTAATATTTGTTCTCTTCAGTAAAATATGTTAATTTCAAATCTCTGCTATAAAATCTTTAAAGAATATTCAGACCATATTGTATGTATTTATACTACCAGATAAAGACCAAATTTTATAATTTATATTCTAAATCAATGTTTTGCTAATTTTTAGACTTTGCCATTTACGTTAACTGCAAGTTAATGTCATTTGCAGCTTGCAAAAACTAAAATAGGAAAAAGTAATTTGCATTTAAGTAAATGTAACTAAGGTTACGAAAATAAAGTGCAAAGAGAATAAAATTAACTCCTAAGAACATCTGCAATGTTTTGCAATGCATACCTCATGCTAATATTCTCTGGACCTTATAAGTTATAGAAATTTCTTAGCCTTCTGTTGGGCACAGTACATTTATGGTCTTTATTTAAATTAAAAATAATGTGTAAGCATGAATTTTATTTATTTAAATTGAAAATAATGTGTAAGCATGAATTTTATTTATTTAAATTGAAAATAAATTACTATCCATATTATCCTGCCGATCGTAAAATTTTGCTATTGTTGAACTACTGGTGGAGATTTCGTGAAAAGTTGGGCCAGTCATTTCTGCCTGAGCAACACTTCTATCTGCTGTTCTTACAGTAATACATGTGTCAGTCTCTCTGCACAATCCACCAAACAGCCACTGCTATGGAAGTATTCAATGTGGTCAGTTTTTTTTTCCTTTTGTGCTTCATAAAAAGGCATGTGTTGATTTCTACTGTTTTGCTATCCCTCTTATTTTAGCAGAAGCTCTGTTTTGAACTTTATGTCTGCAAATTTCCTGCAGTGATTGTTTCAATCTATTGCTGTTTCGTCAGCCAATATCCAGGTGTTTAGTTTTGCATTCAACAAATGTTAATTCTTGTGAGCTGTAAATGAACTCAAGTGCATCACATATGCAATTCTATAGTGCTCGAATTAAATTTTTGTAAAATGCAAGAAAACAAAAATGCAGTAATAACAGTGAATTTATAGCCTTAGTCATAAAAACAGAAGATGGCTTATTGAGAATATATAGGGTAGCATAAAACAAAGTTCTGTGTTGTGAAATTATTCTTATCCAAAATTGGCACTAAATTGCACTGCTTGACGAAAGTTTCACAGTCAGCGGGTTAATACTAGAAGTACTGGAAATGTGTAAGCATGAATTTTATTCATTCAGAATAAAATTTTACTTGTAATACAGTGCATTTATTACAGATATTAAATATAAAAATAAAACAGAATTATCATTAAAAATATGCAATGAATCTGTTAGATTGAATGCAAAACAAAGTGCCAAACTAATCAATTTCATTAATAAAGTTATGCACGCAGTTTATTTCTAGAATATCCCAAAATAAAACAGTATGTGTCAAAAAATTTTTTTTAACAATACATGATAAATTTATATTTTTTGCAACAAATCCTGAAAGATAGTTTGCCTTTAAAAAAGTAACTAGAAATAGTATTTTTTTTTTTGTTTCTTTATTTTTCTTACATCTATAGGAATTTAGCAGTTAATTTTGTATTCTCTTTTAGGTGTAAAATAAAATAAACTATACTTTTTCCCAAAAGCCAGTTATTGCTCAGACTGGTGCAAATAGCAATTTTATTGGAAAATGAATTAACCAGTTATTATAAAGCATTGAAATTAAAAAAAACAAAAACATTTTTGTTCCTTTAGAAGCACATAATGAAATAAAAAAATTCCAAATTGCTGTAAATAGGAACTTGAAGATATGTAAATATGCTATATTTGATGATGCACCGATGGTTCTGGAGATTTATCAAAATTTTTAACTTTTTTTTGGCTGTTATGTATTTCTAGAAGAATATATAGGGAATGAATTGGTGGTGTAGTTGAATTGTTGATTCCCAACTGTATACATAGAATAAGGATAAGAGGATACATCAGATGACACAAGGATGGAGAAGTAAAAACTTTAGCAGAAGCGGCGTTGGTTGATACGTAGTTTTATTCTCGTAATTAATACATATTCACATATCAACAGTATGGGTCCTCAATGTAGTCACACAATTTTGAAACGTTACATCCTTTTTTAGAGGAAAATCAAACATGGCTAGCAGTGAAGAAGCAAGGCAAAGCAGGAAAGAAGTGGAATGTTATTTACCTAGTGGGTGTAGACAACAAAAGAGGATGTAAATTTATGTGCAGTAATATTAATAAGCTTGGTTCCTTTGCTTTAATTCTGAATGATGATTCAGCTACAGCTATCGTAGTGTGGAATACTGCAGGTGTCAGTGTAGATGCAAAAAGGGATGTATTTATTTTTTAAATCAGAAATTTAAAGGTATGTTTCGAAAATTTAGTTAGTGATTGTTTTTCATATTTTATATTTTGAGAAATAAATGCAACTCCTAGGCATCTGTACTGCTGTGCAGAATTCCACATTGTGAATCTTAACCAATCACTATCTGAAGCTCAAACAAAGATTTGAGAGTTTACAAATACTACTGCAACTATTACATATCCTCTTTGTTTTCTTCTACCTAGGAAAGTCACATCTCTCTAAACATTTTGGCGATGACTTAAAACTGAGTTGTTTTCATATTTCTCAAAAACTACATAACAGATAGCCGGTAGGATACTAGGTGTTAAAACTTTTGGATTTGCAGGCACATATATTTGAAATTTGTAAATACTTACTTCATCAAAGTTCAGCTGGGGATCATATTTTGTTCTATCTAAGTTTCATCTTGAAGCTGTGGCATAGTATTTACATTCCACGAGAATAGTTTGTATTTTAACATTTGCATCCTGTATCCATGTTTGCTGCACTGTACCCATACACACTCATTATAGCGCGAGTATAAAGACTTGAACTTTCTGCTGAGAGACTCACTTGCACTTGTACTTCACTGTCCCTGCTTGCTACTGGGAATGACAAATTAATATTTCTTCATTTAAAAACTTTTGTTGCTCAAATGGCTTTGAGAACTAACTCTTCTTTTTTATATTTTATGATTTTCTTTTTGGAATAAATTTTCATTGCTATTATTTTTCCATCTGTTGGAATGCTTCTATTTACATTTTTTTTTTTTTTTTTTTTACTTTG